TGCTATTGTAGTAGAAACAATGGGACACATTTCATTGGTTAAAAATCTCTATCAGACACAAATTTATAGAAAATTTAATAAAAGATATGTGCTGTAGGAAGACCAGATCAACACACACACACACACACACACACACACACACACACACACACGCAGAGAGAAAGAGAAAGAGAGAGAGAGAGAGAGAGAGAGAGAGAGAGAGAGAGAGAGAATGAATACAGGGGAGAAATTGGTTACTTGGTCTCATCTCAATTGCCTATTCTGTGGTATGATATTTGAACAGATAAGGAGTTAGAATCTCAAAGGTTTGTTGTGTAATACATTTTATAACATTGTGTGCTATTTTCTGAGTCTGTTCATTTGGGGAGCATCATCTATGGGCATTAGGAATTAGATTTCAATTATTTAGAGGATGAATCACAAGTTACCATGTCAGGCTCCAAGCTGCGTCAGAGTTTGATTGTTAGACAACGGGCATATAGTCTTTGATTTTTAGCCTTTTTCATCTCTACATTTCCCCTTGTGATGTCAGTGATGGGATAAAGGTCTCATTTATTCTGGTATTGTATTCTAGCTGAGAAGGGATATTTGAGGGCTTTGGTTGGCATTGACTTGCCATAGGGTCACAAGGACTGTAAGCCGAAAAGCCTTGAGGTATGTATTTTAAAGTAAGGGGGTGTGTTTCTGTGGGTGTGAAAAGCAAGCAGGTTAAACAAACAGGAGATGAAGACACATAGCAGAATGGAAAACAAGAACAGAGGGACTACGAGAACTAAAAAAACTCAAACTAATCTGAAGAGCTTCCTAGGGATGGTGCTGGCTATGAAGTCTATAGTAGTCAGGGTTCTCTCGAGAGACTGACCTTATAGACCTTACAGAATGGAGATTTAGTAGAGTGGCCCACAGGATGTTGCCTATCTAGTTAAACAATGGCTATCTACCAATGAAAGGTCCAAGAGCCTAGTAGTTGTTCAGGCCACAAGGCTAGATGTCTCAGCTGATCTTCAATGTACACCAGAATGCCAAAGAAGTAGGCTATAATGCCAGTGAATGGATGGACTTGCCAATGAGAGTGAGGGCAAGCATGCAAAGAGCAAAGGCTTCCTTTTAAAATGTCTTTCATATAGGCTGCCCCAGAAGGCATGGCCTAGATTAAAGATCTTCCTGCCTCCAAAGATTCAGATTAAAAGTAGGTCTTCCCACTTCAAATGACTGAATTATGAAAAAGCCTTCACAGATCTACCCAGCCACCAGGGATTTAGTTAATTTCAGATGAAGTCAGGTTGGCAACCAAATATAGCTATCACAAGTTCCATATGAAATTTTGATTTAACCCCTTGAATAGTTTGATATTCTCTGATTTTTTTGGAAGATTTTTCTCTACTTCTCCTGAGGCTGTGGCCTTGAAATACCAGGTCTCATGTAGAAAGAATGTATAGATTTGAAGGACCATTTCTGTCAAGGAGTTGAAGCATTGTTGGTGGCCCACTTTAGTAGATACTGTAGCCTTCCTCACAGACACATGATGGGACAGTTCTAATATCCATATTGGTGAATTTCCCCTTGTCCAAATGAGTCCTCTAAGAATAGGTAGCACCAAGTAGATGCTTTTTTTATTGTTTCTTTTTTTAAATTCTTTGTTTGTGAATTTCACATCATGCACTCCAATCCCACTTGTCTCCCTTTGCCCTTGCGACCTCCTTCCCAAATGAGAATAAAATAAGATAAAATTAATAAAATAATCTTGTTTTATAAGCTACGGTGTATCACACATCTTTTTTTTTGTCCACACATAGTCTTTTGTCCATACATCTTTACTTGCAAATGTTCATTGCAATGTGTCATTGATTTGGTTCAAGACCTCTGGCTTCTGCTACATTATTTATACTGGATCCCCACAGGGACTCATCTTTGATATCCTGTTGTTGTCTTGTGTCATGAAGATACTGCAATTTTGGGTCTGTCCAACATGCTGTCATGCCTCTTGGCAGATCATAGATTGGGCAGATGTTGGGGTGGGCCAACTCAAAGACCTGGATCTGGACCTGGGGTCACCTATTTCTTACCAGGTTGTGATGACTGCTGCAAAACCCATGAGATTTTGTTTTTGTTATATTTGCAGCTAGGGCATGAAAGGGAAAATTCTTTTTTATGAAAGGACCTTATGTTGGAAGGAGCATAGAAAGATGAGAAATCTGAAAGCTCACAATCTGCTTGTTAGAGATGGCAGTCACCAGTGTATTAGCAGTGCTAATGCATGGTCTCTGAATCCAAACATGTAGGAGGTTGGTCTTTGAGATGTTGTAGTTGGCTAGGTTAGAGAAGTGCCAGAAGAGAAAAAGGAGACCTACAAATTGTTGGTGTGAATGTAAATTCACTCAGACAATATGGAAATCAGCGTGAAACTTCTTAAAAAACTAACAACAGAATGACTACATAATCAGCTATTACTGGTATGCATGTGTACATGCACACAGAATGTATGTACGTGTGTGCAGTTTGTGTGTGTGGTGTGTGTGTGCGAGTGAGCGCACTCATTTGTAGCCATCCAGCAGAGAACTGGGTTTACTTGAAAGGGGGGCTGGAAATGAAAGAGGTAGGGGGGCAAGAGAAGAATGAAGCCAGGACAAAGTTCTGATCAAGACTCCAAGTTTAATAATAAGCACAGCGTATATAAAGGGAAAAAAAACCACAAAACCCATCCCCTGCTTCAGCTAGAGTATGTTGTAGAGCAGGGTCAGTGCAGGCAGCCAAAACAGCTAAGTTCCCATGGGAACCCGCAACTGCAGCCAAGGCCGATGTCTCTGTTCAAGTTGATAAGACCTGTCGTGGCCAATGGTCAAGGTCTGCTTAGCCTGCTCAAGGCTGGGAAGGCCACACTCATTCATGGACTACAAGGCTGAAACATTAGGTATAAGATACAGGTAATTTATCAGAGTTGTGTGTTTCTTTCTGTCTATGGTATGGTATATACATGAGTACATGTTGTGTAGAAAGGTATGAGTGCACAGATGTATGTACATATGTTAGATCAGAGTCTCATTCGTATTTTGTATTGTTTTATATAATGTTCTCCGCCGTATCTCAAGGTCCACTAGTGCCTTTCATGCTCTATTATTATAGTAAATGGCACTTTATTTTTGAGAAAATGTCTTTCTTCCAACCTGGAGCTCCTTGATTGTCTAGCCCTAGCTTGCTTGCAAGCCAGGGATCCTCTCATCTCTGCTCCTGAGTGAGGGCATGACAATCCCACAGGCATACCCAGATTTTGCTGTGTTTGCTGGCAATCTGAACTCAGGTTCTTGAATTTGTGTGGCAAATTCTTTGCTGACTAAGCTATCTATCTCCCCAGCTCTGGAGGAGATTCTTGAAGGTGAACTTAAGCAGTACTTAATTAATTAGTGGCCTCCGAAATGTCTTTAGCAAGAATGTACTAAAGTTTGAGTGAGACACCAAACCTGTCTCTAACAACATTTTTTTCAAAGTTAATAAATTGTTTTCTAATTTAATTTTTATTCTTAAAAGCTTCATATATGTAGATTTTGAATTTTAGTTCTCTTTAATTCTTTTTTAAATCCTCTATTTCTGTTTTTCCCATGTAGTTCAGCTGAAACCATTGAACATGGGCTTAAGGAGATGCTGAAGGAAATAATAAGACACACCTGTTAAAAAGAGAACAGATATTTGGAAAGGAGCTACCATGAAATTACTCAAGAAATATGCTTTGTTCAGAGAGAGATATGATCCATGTCCACAAGAAGTGGGGCCATGACTGGACCTTGAGGTCAGAGAGCATTACATCATACCAAGGGCAGCATGATGGGCCTGTGAGTTTGGGGGATTAAAGATATGAAATTGCTAGAAGAGTCAACTCAAAAGAGTAGGAGAGATAGCTACCACTGACCTGTCTTAAAAACAGACAAAACACCCAACCCAACCCAACCAACCAACCAACCCAAAAAACTAAGTCTTAAAAACAAACAGTAGTTTCTGGTGTTGGCATCAGTTTGTTTGTAATGGAAGAAAAACTGAAGCACATATAGGAATTTCTGTTTTTTCTATAGGAGACAGAGACTAGAGTAGCACAGTGGAGGACATCATATGATTTTCTTGTCTTTAAATGACAGGACTGTGATCCAACAATACCCAAGTGTGGTTATGGGCTTCCCAATGGAGAGTCTTCTCTGTTTTTACAATGGGCATATATACTATTTGGGTGACTCCAAAGGCAGTTTTATATGAGGGGCATTCCTTCAACTTAGCATTGAGAGAAGATATGAGAAGTTTTATATGCTTTTGGTACTAAGTAAGCAGTTTATTTTTGTCTTTGCACCTGTTTGAGAGGTTTCTAAAAAAACAGATATGGTCTCTGTATGCTTTTGGTTTTATCAGTGGTTCTTTAAGCTTCCTGACTCCATCAGTAGGACCAAGAAACCAGATCCAGAATGAATATCCTGTTTTCCTACCATGCTCTCCTTATATGGCCTGTAGTTTCCTTGTCTTTCTATCTGGCCTCAAGGAAGATGACTGTAGTCTGCATGGCTGATGAACAAGAGCCTGGAGTTTGTGTTTCAGTGAATTATTGAGCAATTAAACGTATTCCTAGATGTGTATATCATTCACACAGAGTCCAGGAATTGAAAATCTGAATGTAGAGGCTGAGGCTAATAGCTTTCTTCTGTGTGGAAGCCATAGCCTAGTGTGTAGCACCCTCTAGGCTCTTCAGTTACCCAGTCTCAAAAATATCACAGCGATTAATCCCCATTGGAAAGTTAGTGAAATAAATATGTAGACAAGAATCCAAAAGAATTTGAACCATTGCGTAGTGGGGTAGAAGCGAGCAGACATAGTGAAGCACGTAGGATCTGTGCTTCCCCCCCCCCCCCCCCGGCTATCTGCTCAGCCCATTGGCTTGGGATCCTATTGGCTTTCCCTTCTAGCCTCAGCTCATATATAGGCATGCATAGTTGAGGCCTTTAGTGATCTGTCCTGCTCTCTTTACCTGGGAAATCACTGCCATGGGGAAGAATATCCTGCTCCTCCTGCTGGGCCTCTCCTTTGTGGTGGGCTTCCTGCAAGGTGAGATCGTGGCAGACGGTGTCAGCAGGAAGACAATCTATCGAAGGGTATTGGGTTTTGGGAGGTGAGGAGTAAGATACAAGACTGGCCTGCTTTAATAAGTGACTCTACACCCTTCATCTCCATGTTCTCACCCTGCCTTCCTTCCTTGCTCTTTCTTGTACATAGTAGGGTCTTCTCTATTTCCTTGGCTTCTTTGTCACAGCTGTGGTCCTGGAGTTCGTTCTCATAGTCCTTCAGTTCTCCTTCTCAGTTGTTAACAAGCTAATATTCTCAGTTCCTCCAGCTGACCTGTGCACAGGCCTATATTTGCATTGGCAATGATGCAGGAAGGTCCTTGACAGGATGCAGATAATGACGTCATGGGGAGCACCTGTCTGCTCATAGGTAGTAGGCTCAAGCTCCTACAGCACAGCTCTGGTCTTCCTCCGTACAGCCCTGTCCATTTACTCAGTAGTTGAAGTGGGGAAACCTGGCTCTTCTTAACTCCTTCCTAGGTTCCACCCTGTAGGGCTCAGCTCAGCATACATACAACTCTTTCCTTGGTCACTGTTTCCTACTCATTGATGATTGCTAAAGGCTCAGCTCTGGGTTGAATTTGGGCTATGTGTGAACCTCTTACCCTTGAGTTTTGCCTTTTCAGCCCTGAGATGTTGGGACTGTGCCATGTTAAACTCAGATGGAGTTTGTGTGAAAGGAAACACCACCTGTGAGGCTAAAGAGGACCAGGAATGTGGCATCCTGGTAATTTCTCAAGGTGAGTCAAGCCTGGGAGACCTCAGGGTGATCCTGCTTGCTGTCGACAAATGAAGTAACACTTGTGACACTCCTGGGGACAAAGCAGAAACTGTGTGTGGGACTGTGTTTCTGTGTAAACTCAGGACAGGGCTCTTTAGTACTTGGTACTGGTTGTCTTCTGTTCTTGGCCAGATACACTTTTTTGTGTAGGGGGCGGGGGGGGTGGTCTTTGCATGGTCTTGAAAAGCTTTAATGGGAAACATTCAGTGGCAAGAGAATTTGAACCGTAAAATTCTACCCAGCAATCTTGGGGATAGGAGGCTTTCCTGCAGGCCAGATTACAGGTGGATTGAAGGTAACTACAGTCACCCCAATGTGGATGGCATAGATTACACTGGGGAGCATAACTCTCCTCATTTACTGAGACTCTGATTTCACAAATATTCATGTTTGTTGCTTTTCTTCTTGTGCAGGTGTTGATATTCTCTTAGGGATGCAAGATTGTTCCTCCTTCTGCTTAAATAAGACTTTCATCCATGGGAATCTAACACTGGATTTTTCATGTTGCCATGACCAATCACTCTGCAATGAGTTTTAGAGGCCAGGCCGTTTCTTGCTCAATTCTGCTGCGGGTGAGTCCTTACCCCTTCCCTGTGCTCTCACAACATCTGTTCCCTGCACCGCCAAGTCCTGACAGCAGCCTGGGACCGGCATCTGCTGCTGATGTTTCAGCAGTTCAGCTAGGGACAGAGAGATGCTCTCTGCTTCCCACTCCCCAGTGCTTCCCCCTTTTAGATTCTTGTTCCTTCCTTCCCTTCCTCCGTCTTTCCCTCAGTAAGAGACATTTACCACACTTGCCCATATTCCTTTCTCTGTTACCTTTATCAACACTGGTTTTTATATTAGTGAATATGACAGATCTCACACCTACTCTTCATAAACCTTCAGACTATTGATGCCTCTTCTGCCAAGGTTGCTAGCCAACATTAGTTCCAGTACATATCTGTTGTATTAAATATTAATAAACAAAGCTGGGTGTGGGTTACTTCCCACTCAGTGGTTTATGTTCCCGAATAAAAGGCACATGTGCAGCCTTTATATTTTAATATGCCTTAAACAGCACAATATCTGGGCCACTGCCTAACCTCCATGCAGTTAATCCTGACTTATTACTTACTAATTCTATGTTCTTTCTTGGTTGCTCTGGATCCAATTGGGCAGCCCTCTGGACCACGCTCTTCTGGCTCCTTCACATGGTGGCTATGACTCTCTGCCCTGCACTCTTCTCAGGCATGGTGTCTTTCCTCTCCTGTCCTCCACACTCTCCCACTCAGGCATGGCAAATCTTTTTCTCCTCTCAGTCCCAAGCTGGGAATCCTAAAATTCTGCCTCTGTCTGTCCTCTCCAACTATTGGCTGTTAGCATCTTTATTTACCAATCAGGACCAACTGGGGGGCATGTTCCCAGAAGCTATGTGCAGACCTCATGCACACATTTTTTTTTTTTGAGAGGGGACATAATTAGCATTGGTAATACACACAGCTACAAATATCCTCATTCTTATTCATCGAATGGAAGTCATATAGTATCTGGTTTATTTTGACCTGAGTAAAGCAGTGTAACACAGCAATGATCTATTTTATGTTATGATTTTGGTGGTTTTCATCATGGAGGGAGCATGCAGTAGAACACTATTCACATCATGACATGTAGGATACATAGCTGAGCATAGAAGGCAGGGATCAGGACAGGATAGAGCTGTCTCCAAGGCAACAACCCTAGTGGCTGCTTTCCTCAACCCAGCCTGTAACACCGTTAATAATCCATTCAAAATGTGAAAGAATCCATGGCTTAAATCATTAATTGGGTCAGAGACTTCATAGCCTAATCAAGTCTAGAAATATCACAGACTCTTCCTGAGAGGTGTTTGAGGAATGTCTTGGACATCCTTGATACAATGAAGTTCACAGTAATATTAGCCATCACATGGGCTGAAGACACTTCGGCATCACAGCATCTGATTCTATTTTGTGTACACATGGAAAGATTGCCCAGTTTAGCTTTATTCCTAGTAAATTACATAAATTTAAAGTTGATGTTGTTGACATCTTTATTTTTGTAATTTCTTTTCTAGCACATTGCATACTCAACTGAGAAAATACAGACAATCCTGTCCACAGGAAACATGGCTAGTAATCCCATCCCACTCTGCAGAGACACAGCTTGTTTACCTGACCAGGCTTTAAAATCATTAATAAATTCCAAAGCTTTAAAATCATTAATAAATTATAATGTGTATTTATATGTATTTACATGTGAGTATGTATATACTTACAAATATTAAGATCATTATAACTTTGCTTTTCAGTGCTATTCATTGAATCCTGGCTCTGGAGCATGTCAGCAAGCATTCTACTACTGACCTTGTCTTGAAGACGATACCTTGTCTTTCCATCACATGGCTTAGACATCTTTTGTCGTCTACATGTAACTTACTATATTAGACTTGATGCTCTTTCCTCCACTGTATACCTTTAAAGTTTTTCATCAATCCTGCGTGGTTGTCTAGATTACTTTCTTTTTTTTTTTTTTTTTTTTTTTTTTTTTTTTTTGGTTTTTCGAGACAGGGTTTCTCTGTATAGCCCGGGCTGTCCTGGAACTCACTCTGTAGACCAGGCTGGCCTCGAACTCAGAAATCCGCCTGCCTCTGCCTCCCGAGTGCTGGGATTAAAGGCGTGCGCCACCACCGCCCGGCTAGATTACTTTCAATTACACAATATCTACGTTTATTTATTTTGTGTGTGTTTCTGTGTTGTCATGCCATGACACATGTGGAGGTTCAAGATGAACTTTCAGGAATAAGTACGATCCTTCTACCATGCTGGTGCTGAAAGCTGAACTCAGTAGTCAGACTTAGTGGTCGGCGCCTTCGCACCTTGTGTCACCTTACTTCACCTCAAGTTTAAAATCATACAATTAGGGGGTCAGTGGGTAAAGTTATTTGTCACTAAGCCTGATGATTCGAGTTCAGTTCCTCGGACCCACATGGTAGAAGGAACAAATGGATCTATTCATGTTTTGCTCTGACCTCCATATACTGAACATTGCAGGGTGCATATACGTTCCCGCCATATTCACATTGAAACAGACAGATATACAGTAAACATAGTAAAAAATAATACAATCACAGCATTTTTTATCCCTGTCCACATTCCTTCCTTCACCATACCTTTCCACTCTCCTTCCCATTTAACCCTCTCTGTACCGTTCTCCTTTAACCCTTGACACCACTGCATTCTAACTTTCCTCTCTTGGAGTACCCATCTCCCATGACCCTTTACTGATTTTTTGATATTTGTAGGTATTCCAAGTGGAGAGTACACATGCCTGAATAATCAAAGCTAACTCCCCAAAATGAGAGGAATTAAATACCAAGGAAATAAAAATGCCATTCATACATGGGTAACTGAAATAAACAGTTTTCAAAAAAAGACGACGAGGAGGAGGAGGAGAAAGAAGAGGAGGGAGAGAAGGATAAAAAGGAGGAGAAAGAGGAGAATAAGGAGGAGGAGGAAAGAAAAAAAGAAATGGAAATGGCCAATTACTGTTTTGTAAAGTGTACCAGACTAGGTGGCAGGGATGAATTTTACTAGGAATGGAAAATAGAATAGATGGTTATTGATGAATGAGAAAGTGTGTACTGCTAGAATGTGAGGATCAAATAAGGAGGGGGAAGTAAGAGTTAGCAAGGGAGGGAATACTGGGAGGGACAGCTGAACTAAGGGCCCCCTGAGAGGTCATATGGAAACTTGTTATAGTAGAAGCTTCCTATACTATATACATATATGGAAGCGAACTAAATGAAGTTGCCAAATAATGGGGTAGACAGAGCTTCAAGTGGTCATCTCTCATCACCAGATAAAACATCCAGCAGCGGGAATGGGTTATACAAGTGAGTTAGTCAAAGGGTCCTATGGTATGGTGGTTTTAATGAAAATGGCCCCATAGGGTCATATGGAGTGCCACTTTTAGGAGGTGTGGACTTGTTAGAGTAGGTATGGCCTTGTTGAAGAAAGTGTGTCACTGGGAATGGGCTATGAGGTTTCAAATGCTCCAGGAAGTCACAGCATCACTCTTTCTTCCTGCTGCCTGCCGATCCAAATGTAGAACTCCTGACCCCTCGGGCATCATATCTGCCTGTACACTGCCATGCTTCCCACCATGTGATACTGGATTAAATTTCTGAATCTGTTTAGGCAGGAGCCGATGCAGAAGCTATGGAGGAGTGCTGTTTACTGGCTTGCTCAGCCTGTTTTTCTTATCGAACTTAGGACCACCAATCCAAGGATGGTACCACTCTTAATGGGATGGGCCCTCTCCTAATGATCACTAACTAAGAAAATGCCCTACAACTGAATCTTTTAAGACATTTTCTCAATTGACGCTTCTTTTTCTCCAATGACTCTAGCTTATGTCAACTTGACAAATAACCAGCCAGTACACTAACCAACCAATATCTGATTGGATTTAAGCCCCACTTTAAGAGCTGGCACCCATATCCAATGCTGCTTGGGTGGCCAAGAATCTGAGATTAGATACGCAAGGGGCCTAGGGGAATATCAAATACTACTATTCTGCTAAAGGAATACAGCATAGACATAACTTTAATGACATTCTGCCATCAGAGACATTCTTTTCCTGCAGCAGATGGGAACACAGACAGAGATCCACAAACGGACATGTAGAGAGTGAGAGACCTTGAATCACTCAGTCCTAAATGGGATGTCTGTATCAAATCCTGCCCCTCAGGGCTCAGGACCTCTATGGAAGAGGATGTCAATATAGTGTAAGAGCCAGAGGGGAGAGGACACAAAAGAAACAAGGCCCTTTAAGTCAGCAGGATCTATGCACAACTGAACTCACAAAAACTGCCAGTATGCACAAGGCCTGCATAGGTCCTCACCAGAATGCGTACTAGAGCTGAAAAAAGTGGACATATGTCCCCATCCCTCAAGTAGATGCTATCTCCAATTGGTAACTACTTGTAAATTAAAAATTATTTTTGTCAAGGGAGTCTAATTGGGAAACAAACACATTAAATTTTTTAAAATTTATTAATTACTTTGTTTTCACTTATTTACATCATCTCTCCCATAGCCCTTCCTCCCTCTCCTCCCCTTCTCCTGTGGGCGGGTGGGAGCTTCCTGGGTGTTCCCTCCAACCCCAGCACTTCAAGTCTTTTCAAGGCTAGGCGTTTCCTCTCCAACTGAGGCCAGACGAGGCAGCCCAGCTAGTAGAACATATCCCTCGTACAGGCAACAGCTTTTGGAATAATCTCCACTCCAGTTATCCAGAACCCACATGAAGGTCAAGCTGCACACCTGCTACATATGTGCAGGCAGCCCTAGTATTCCATTGTGTAGATGTACCACATTTTCTTTATCTATTCTTCAGTCAAGGGACATCTAGGTTGTCTCCATTTTCTGGCTATTATGAATAAAGCTGCTATGAACGTAGTTGAGCAAGTGTCCTTGTTATATGTTTGAACATCTTCTGGGTATATGCCCAGGAGTGATATGGCTGGGTCCTGAGGTAGAACTATTGCCAGTTTTCTGAGACATCTCCAAATTGATTTCTAAAGTGGTTGTACAAGTTTGCACTCCCACCAGCAATGGAGGAGTGTTCCTCATGCTCCACATCCTTGCCAGCATGTGCTATCTCTTGTGTTTTTGATCTTAGCCATTCTGATGAGTGTATGATGGAATATCAGAGTTGCTTTGATTTGCATTTCCTTGATGACTAAGGGCTTTGAACATTTCTTTAAGTGCTTCTTGGCCATTCGAGATTCCTCTATTGAGAATTCTGTTTAGTTCTGTACCCCAGTTTTTAATTAGGTTATTTGGGTTGTTGGTGTCTAACTTCTTGAGTTCTTTGTAAATTTTGGATATGAGCCCTCAGTCAAATGTAGGGTTGGTAAAAGTACTTTCCCAACCTGTGGGCTGTGATTTGTCCTGTTGACAGTGTCCTTTGCCTTACAAAAGCTTTGCAGTTTTATGAGGTCCCATTTATCAATTGTTGATCTTAGAGCCTGAGCCATTAGTGGTCTGTTCAGGAACTTTTCTCTTGTACCAATGCATTCAAGGGTATTTCTCACTTTCTCTTCTATGAGATTTAGTATATCTGGTTTTATGTTGAGGTCCTTGATCCACTTGGATTTGAGTTTTGTGCTGGGTGGTAAATATGGATTATTTTCATTCTTTTACATGTAGATATCCAGTTAGTCCAGCACCACTTGTTGAAGATGCTTTCATTTTTCCATTGTATGGTTTTGGCTTTATTTTTTAAATCAAGAATCCAGTGTCCATAGGTGTGTGAGTTCATTTCTGGGTCTTTGATTTGATTCCATTGGTCAATGTGTTTATTTCAGTACCAACACCATGCAGTTTTTTTTAAACATTTGCTATTGCTTGCTCTGTAGTACAGCTTGAAAACAAACCACTCCTAAGGGTTGGCTCCATGCTCAACTTTAGGACAACACAAAACAAACTCTATAGCATCTTTGGAGGTTTTGTTTGTCTCATAATAATGTCAGAACCTATTTTTTAAACTTTACATATTATTTATGGCTTCCAGTTTTGTTTTGTTTTATGGGATTCCTGTGTCTGCAAAAATGTATTCTCTGTGTCTACATGTATTTTTTTGATTTTTCTTTTCTATTTTTTTCTTGTTTGGTTGTTTTGTCATATCTTGATTTATTTGTTTTTGATTTGTTTTTAATTTTATTCTTTCTTAGATGCCTGTTTATTTTCTGAAGGAGACAGAAAGAGTCTGAATCCTGGTGGGAGGGGAGGTAGATGGGGAGACTGGAAGGGGTAGGGGCTGCTTGCATTACCAATGCTAATTATGTTTCCCCCAAACTCCTTGGACTGTATATCTTCTGAGAACTTGCCCCCAGTTGCTTCTGATTGGTAAATAAAGATGCCAACAGCCAATAGCTGGAAAGGACAGACAGAGGCAGGATTTTAGGATTTCCTGGCCTTGGAACCAGGTTGAGAGAAAGGAGAAGAGAGATCAGTTATTCTGGGAGAGTGTGGAGGAGAGGAGAGATGCCATGCCTTAGAAGAGTACAGGACAGAGTGACCCGACCGGCAGGTCCTAGTTATTCGTGGGGGCGAGGAGGACCGCAACCTGAAAGAAGAATGGGCGAGAGAGGGAAAGGACTCAAGCAAACAGTTGCTTGTCAAGAGCCATGTATTTGAACATGAAATGCTTTTTTATAGCATGCTTTACAAGGGGAGGGGGTAAGAGGGGCCAGGTGGTGGAAAAGTACAGAATCTTCTCGACCTGTGCCTTGAAACATGTCATGGTCTATACGGTACACTGCCTTGAATTATGATCTACCTGCTATTCTTCAGAAGATATGGTACACTGCTTGAATTATGGTCTCCCTGCTATACACTGCTTGCCAAGCAGGATCTTGTGGTTGCCAAGCTGCAGGGGACATTATGCAGGTGGGGAAAGGTAGGGGGTGAGGGTAAGGGCGAGGGTCCTGGCTTCTGGCAACAGAGAGACATAACTT